GACTGGGCGGTGCCATCCTTATTTTTTTCCTTGGGTAGAACAAGAAAACAACCGCCATATTGATGAAAAATCCTATGATGACAAGCTTTTTTTTATTGACACAATACATCACAAATACATCACAATAGAAAAAAGGGAACAACACTCGCTCACACACTCAGACTTAAAAGAAAATGTGTTGTGCTACAGTGTATGACACTTTTAATTAATTATATCGTCGTACTCTAAATATTCAGATTGAAAATAAATTAATAATATTTGAAGTGTGATGACAGAGTGACTTCTTTGTTTTTATCAGATATCTAAGCAATGACATCAAACCTCCCAAAGTTGCCACAAACGTACCACAATTATAAACGCCCACTGGTGCCAACTTGAATCGTATTATATTGACAGAGGGATTGTTTTGTAAATTCCAAATTTAAACTTTAAACTTAGCTTTGATAAAGTTAAACTTTGGAATTAGAAAAAAACAAACTAAAATCCTTATCGTTGCATAAATTATCGTCTGCTTTGTCACTTATTCAAAGTTTTATTTTTTTTTTATTGGTAAACTGCTTTTGTGATTATTTGATCTCATTTGCACTGACGCGAAATTTCTATAATCAAGTCCAGGGTATATCAATAATAGGAAAAAAGACATAGATGTAAAAAAGCAACAAATGTATATGTAAGCTTAGATAATCTTTATTATGTAGATTCAATTCAGAGCTGATTTAAAACATTAAGTCACCCAAAAACATGACGTGCATGACCTCAGATGAGAGTCGCAGTCCTGTTTAGTACTTCTTGCCATAACCTGGTGCATAAATTGGATCAACTGGGGGTAGGGGCACGCCTGGGCACTGGGCTGGCTTGATGATGATCAGGCTTCCAGCACAACAGTCCTGGGTAGCTCTGTTGTAAACATATCCACCGCAGCAGTCCTGTGTATTGGTGTTGTATATGACTCCAGCGCAGCTGCAAAGGAGACAAAAAAAGCTTACATATAATAGATGCTACGTCAAAAAGCATTTAATGTCAATGATTTAAGTCAATTTAAACAGTCCCATTAGATTTAATGATGTTCTTATCACCCTGAGTTTTAGAGGACATTGGAAACTCGCTTCTTTTCGTTCCGCATGCCTTCTCTTACTGGAAACGGCTTATGCAAGGAGATAGTAGGGAAGCAAATGACAGATATCTAAAACTCATTGGTGACATTTGGTAGCGTGTGTTAATATTGGGTATATACGTTATTCTTACACAGTGAAGTAAAACATGCATGCATACATACACGCCCTACTCAGTTAACAACTCTATTAAATAAAAAGGTGCTCTCCTTTAAAAAATGAAAGCAAATATGAAAGCTTTCTCAATATCGAGTGTACTACTTCAAGGTACGTAACCTGACTAACGCCTAGCAAAAGCTTCACAATGTTTTGGCGTCAGAAGTTTATCATGGACATACCTGGCCAAGTAGTCTTCTGGACGACCGGCGATTGGGGCGTAACGGACTGGGCGACCGTAGGCGTACCTGCCGTAGTAGGGAAAATCCTTGTAGGTGGCCGCAACGGCGCACACGAGAACGGCGACAATGACGAGCTTCATCATCTTGGAGCTGTGGAGGAAGGATTCTGCTTGGATCTGTCCAGAATGTGGAATTGCTCTATGTCCGGGATTTTTATACTCTCACCTGCGTGCCTGATGCCCATTTTTGTCAAGAAAAATCGTTTTCAATTACACCTGACTTGTTTTCCCAACGAAACTTATTTTCCATGACGATTGATAACCGTGTAGTAGCACGAGTTAATCATGAAGCTAAATTGCTTCGCCTGATGCAGAACGTCAGGTTGCAGTAACTTCACCAAATAGTTCGTTTGCATGACTATGTTACTATGTAACAACGCTTTTCATACAGAAAAACTACATAGAAGTAAACAATGAATTATCATCATTTAGATTTAGATTGCGGTAAAAACCATTTCAGCAATTTTTTTTACTGATATATACGGTACAAGGAGATAAAAACTTAATTTTGATCATGATAAGTTTATAGCACAAAACTGGTTCATTGTATTCTTGTCAACCTTTCTTCGATAAATGTTTTATTGATATAAGCAATATCACTTTTAAAAATGATAAAGTATAACGTCCACAAGTTGCCACTTTTGCGTTCTTTTCCCGTTACTGGTGATCTTTTATGGCAATTTCAAGACCGAGCACATCCCATACCGCAAATTTGCTGTCACAGGGATCATTTTAAAACATTTTCTGGTCAATTTGTGGTTGGTCAATTTATTTTTTGGAAAATACGAGTGCTTTTTATTTCAACTGTTTGTTAATCTATTACAAGGCACCCTATGTAAGTATTGGCGAGAAATGATCCATAGCAACTGATTACAACTAATTCAGAACATCCTCTGTAGCTCATTTAGAGCTTTACGTGCAAACGCGTATTGTCTGCTCTAGACTTAATTTCGAAAGATAGAAATTAACCCATCTTAAGTACTTTTACTATAATTATATGTGAAACATATATTTAAAGATGAATGGTCAAAAATGCTACTATGGTACAGATTTTTGAACCTACGAGGTTTCAAAATATTGAATTCCAGAAAGAAAAAATCACTTTAATCTTCCATCGAATGTATCTGAGCAATAAACAAAAAAAGATTATACAATATGCCCTACCACATATAAAAAAGCCTTCTGTTGCCCTTATACATTTTGCCTTGGAGCGACCTGTAGGAAAAATCACCATCTTAATAAAAACTCTTACTGTTGATAACGATGTTTTAATGTTAACATCCCCTTCACCAATATTCAAAATATCTAATAAAATTGAAAAGGTGGTTTAAATAACTTTAGGATAGCAAAATTGACAATTTAAACAATAGTGTTCTCGTACATTTTTGCTCCAAATTATTATCACTTAGTGAAAATAAGCAATTATCACATAATTGAAAAATTGATAAGATGATAATGATAGATTCAACATTAACCTTAGGCTCTATTCCCATAGATTTTAGATCGATCTATCCCCGCGGGGAGTCTCACTAGATTACTTTCAGATAATTCGACTTAAATGTCCGTCCCGCCTACTACAAGCTGTAAGGGGGTAATTAACTTTCGTGTCCGCCCGGCTGACAGCTATTTAGCGTGAACCCCCAGGGAGTTAGGTCGATCTAAAGTAGGTCGATCTAATCTATGGAAATGGGGTGTTAGACAAATGCCCTGGTTGTAACGCGATAATATGGAGACTGCTTAATGACACGCGATTGTTTGAACGATACAAATGAAGATGTTTAAAACCAAACCCCGCTTCACTAAAGTATATCCTTAATGTTTTGCTTTGAAAAGATATTTTAGAAGAATTGTTTTCTTTTTCCCTCCTCCTCCTGGTACAGGAAAACAAAGGCTTTCTGTAATATTGTTGTCTGTGTACATTCCTGTCTCCCGTGAAAACTGATAGACCGAGCTCCGAAAGACGGTTACATACAACGTATAATGATGAGTAACAGTGTTCCCACGTGCTTTCGAACCTCAACAGACCTTTTTAATGTTTACCTGCACGTTTACCTGCGTTTAAAAAACCGCCAAGAAAAAAATCAACACTAGCTCTGCCTGGTACGCCAACCAGTATGTTGAATCTCATGCAACATAAAATTAATCTTTAAGGATGTCCTATATTTCGTATTCCACCAGATGCGCTTACCAAGGCACCAAAGATGGTTATATACAATTAAAAAAGAAATTGGCGTCATGAAAGGAGACTTTCATCCCATGTCTATTTAAATCATTTATTTTCGCTTTCAATTATAAATGAATATAGAAAGAATTTTTTAAAAATGCATTCACTAAAAGAAAGCCTTTTCAAATATCAAGAAAAGCGAATTAAAGGTGATGATGAAAAGTACCATCTTGGTGATGACTTTTCAGGTAATGTTGTGCATCACGGGACAGAAGTGGGAGGAAGGGAGGGAGGGGGTGACATATTTCCCTGGCTACCGTCGAAGTTTTAGGCATATATATATATATATATATATATATATATATATATATATATATATATACAATGACGTGTGCGATTTGTTAGATCTATAAAATATGTATCGTTTAAGAGTTTAAAAAAGGGAGAGGGTTTTTGTCAAGAGGAGAGGTGCATGATATCCCGTCTTATACCATTGGTATTATTTTTTCATATTTTTCTGTAGTTGTTTCTGGCATTTTTGTTTTTTTCTTATGCGTAGTGAACAAATTAACAATAACACTCTGAAAAGATAAATCGGTAGGTTACCTGTAAGTATAAACCTAGATTTTTTATGTTCATGTGTGTTTGCGGGTATGTCAAACAAGCACTGTATTAAGAAAATGTGGACGAAGTGAACTTTTAAGAACGTGCAGTTAAAAAGAATACCTTGTTATGTCAGCATTATTCAGATATGAGAAGTTGTAGGTAGCGTGTTGGGATACTTTTATTGTTCCATATTACAGGGTTTAGCAATAAATAAAACACAAATGCCTTTTTGGAGTATTTTGCTTTCTCAAACAAATAGACTGAATTTAATATTGAAGTATCTGAAATCTACATGCAGTCGAATATGAACATTTTAAAATGGTTAAAACACCCCAAGTTTCAAATGACACATGGAAGCTGATAGTAGAGAGGTGAGTTTCCAGTGACTTCTGTAACTCGGAGAGACACTTAATGAATTATTGTTTTTTTTTTTTTTTTTTGCAATGAATCAACCAAGTTTGTGCATACAATTTTGCAATCTGCACATACCCATGCCAAGATCACGTAAGTAATTATCTACTAAGGAGACTTAAATTCTACTGTCACTAATGGACTTGGGTTATCAGGGTAGGGTGAAGAGAGCAATTTCTTTTTAAGGGCACAATTTGGGACATTTTGCAGCCCTGAGCGTATAAGTGTGTTCCTGTGGGGCATATTAGTGGGTGTTTTTTTTCTATTTGAAGGGTGACAAGCTTATCCTCCACCCACTTTGTTTTGGAAAGATGGTGGGAGGGGGGAGGGGGGAGGGGCAGTTTTTTACATGCAGCTGTCTACTAGTAACCTTCCCCCATCACATGCAATATGTTCTTTAAGGGCAATCTTCAAAATAGAGACTGGTAGTAACACTCAAGTATGACTTAATGGGCAATATAAATGTACATTTTTAAGATAATCATTACTGGACAGACATTTATAACTCACTGCATGATATTTGTGACAAATGGACACCAAAACAAGGCAATAAACCATCATTTTATTTTGTATAAAGCACTTATTTTTTTCAAAATGGAATATGAGAATATGAGAGAAATTGTCCAAAAGGTATCACAGACAGATTACAATTATGAAAGTTGAAAAAACATCTACAATTTTTGGTATTACAGAAAAACTAAAAACTACTGAATATCACAAATAGTCAATATATAAGAGATTCATAAAGAAGCATGCAGTATATGGCAAGCAATTTACTACTAACAATAATGAGCTCTTTGAACTGCATTCTAAGTTTGCCTAGGCACTTTGCCCAACACAAAGATTAAAACCTTATATACCAAAAACATACATGCAAATCTACTTGTTTCTCCCGATTTCCAACATTTAGCCTTATTTCTGATAGTCTTTAAACAGACCATCATCAGACAACATAAAAGTGACTTTAAGCCACTAGAATGAAGCACCTGTTGGCTATAGTAGCATAATAAATGCTGCACTATAGGGCAAGACAAATAATATTCATGTTTAATGTAAACAAATGTTGGACAAATTTTTATTGTCACAAACGATAAACAGATTTTGAAGTTTACATTAATAATACTAAATAAAAATATGTGGAAAAGCAATATTGCATTTCCTTATATTCAAGTTTTTATGTACATTCATTTTAGAATGCTTTGTATATAAACCGAAAGCTTTTAAAAAAGAGTAGTAAATTACTATTCACAAAACATGACTTCGTCAGGGAAATGTAATTTTGAAAAATTAGTCGGATTTACGCAATTTAAAATATTAATTAATTTTTAAGTGACCAAATTTTCAAGTTTTTTCCATAAGTTTCCATTTCGCAACATCAGACAGGCCGTGCATATATACCTATAAGTTGTTCTGTAAAATGGGATCAGATAAAGCTTAAAACACTCAGTGATCAATCAAACTGTGTGATTGTCCAAATGAACTGTAACAAAATCATTAGAAGATATGGCAGTGGAATTTTGCTGTAAAAAAGTATTATTATGTAATAACTAATTACCTAATCTTACCTACAATTCTCTATAGCTTACCTAACATCATTTTGAAGGATTCTTATCTCAGAAATACTGAATTTATTTGTTTTAAAGCTTGCTGTTTTATCAGTGATTAAAAAAGATGCAACAGAAAGTTTACAGACAAAAGCACAGATCATCTAAAAAGAAAAAAACAAATTCTTAAATAATAATAATCTCATAATACTGGTGATAGTAGGTCCATTATTGTGATTCCCCTGAATACTCTGTACTATATGGATTACATGTATTATATATAATTGTATCCCTCAAATACAGTTTTTTTACCTTCTCTCTCTCATTAACAGTGAAAACTGGCTGCAAATTCTCAGTTTTTGGTCAACTTCTGTATTTCCTCAGCAAGCACTTTTGTCATGTGAATGGCTTTGTTGGCTTCCTCTCCACCTATCTGTTCCAAGGCCAACTGTGCCGCATCCCGAACCGTAGATATTACATCATTCCGCCTGTACACACACAAAAAATTGTATTTTTTGTTTAATAATTGATATTTATATAGATATAATATCAGCTTAAATGTGTTTAACATTTGTATAATTCAGTCTTGCCCTATATTGTCTCTGCTTTAAGTGCCCTCCAATATGGAAGTGATTAAAAAGTGATAAAAAACTTTTTATTTCAATTAAAATTGTTACATTTTTTACTATTGCAAACATTGCAACAAATGTGTACATCACTAACATAACTCAAATATTCACATTTATTTGTGGAATGACCCATAAGCAGACCAAAGAAAACAAGAAATGAGCAATGACATTAAACAATCTGGACTTGCAAGTACCACAGTAAAAGCACTCTGGAATCTTTATTAGAAACACACTTACCACATCTGCACCAGTTTGCCAACTGCTCCCTGAGATTTCAGATGCCCCAGAGCCAGGCACCCGCTCTCTCTCACCAGTCTATCCTGGTCTGTCAGTACTTTCTTCAACGCTTGAACTGTGACTTTGTCACTGCTCACAGCAGCTCTGGCCAATGATATTGCCGCCACTGCCCTGACATTAGGGTCACTATCTTTTAAGAGGTCCCTCAGTGCTTCCCTAACAGCTGGACTATTAAATTTTCCTGTTCAAAAAATCAAATAAGAACAGCTGACTCATATGTTTTTTATCATAAGTTGAGTATATATAAAAAAAAAAAAAATATATATATATATATATATATATATATATATATATATATATATATATATATTGAAATATAGATAATACATTAAAGTATAGAGTTTCGAATGCTGAAGGGCATTCTATTTCCTCTGCCTAACCTTCCCCACCACCCCCTCAAAAAGAAAGAAAGAAAATAAGAAGAAAAAAAGAAAAGAAACAGCATTACCAAATTCTAAAAACCAGTAGGATAAGATCTGATAATATGAGTGTTAACTATGTTGCACCTAAAATGCACTTTCTGCAAAAATACCTAAATTTTCTATTGCCTCCACCCTGACATGAGAATCCATGTTAAATACTTCTCTCATGGCAAAGTGCTCTAAGGCATAGTCCTGCACTCGCTGCCACAATGAAAACAATTCCTTATCTATGGTGCAGAATTCTGAAATAAAAAAGAGGCTTTCTGACTTATTTAAGTCATATGACCAATGGAAGATGATCCCCTCCCCAAAATATAAAATAAAATAAAAATTATAAAAATGTTTTTCAGACCGGTGAATGCACGGTCCTTTTAAGAATTTACCATCAAAACAATCTATTGCAAAATAAAAAAAATCACTTTTGTTCATAATTGTTAGGAAATAACACTGCCCCCACCTTTATACTTTTCAACATGAAGAATCCCATCTTCCTCCACAGCCATTTCATGCTTCATCATCATCTCCATCCTCGTCTGGTCCTCCTCTGAGAACAGCTTGTCAATGTTACTCTTGTATTCCTGCTTGAATTTTCCTGAGAATCTAAGTAGATAGAGTAGACAAACGCTCATAGTCTTAAATCCCAATTGGTGTTTAAATCCAAATACTTATCAGTTCATAAGTGTTTCAGTTACACTGTATAAATTTGCAAAGTACACTATAAAGAATATATCCAATATCCTGCAAAATAGGGTATTTTTCCTCTTGTTTTCAAAAGAGCAATTTAAAATGACATCAAACCACAAATCTGACTGTATCATTATTGTTATCATGATAAAAGTAACATGAATGATTATGACAATAATAATAATAACGATGATAAACAGATATCTTTTAAAAAAGGGCTATCTGTAAAAAAGGTTCCACACATGCATCTCAGCACTTTACATGAAAATTCCTGCATCACTAAAACAACATTAAAATCATACAAAATATAGAAAAAATTGGAGTATCAAAAACACTAGTAGATTACATATAAACATCTTTTTAAATAGACCTCAATCCGTTAAAAAGTTTTGTATCTTTACATTGATGAGTGAACACAGGAATAGACAATGAATAGCACCAAAAATTTTATATAATAATAATAATAGTAATAATAATAATAATAATAGCAGCTCTACCAATGGGAAACAAAGTTGTGATAATTTACAAAATGCACTTAGTACACTACACTTAAGAGCCACAACACTTATTGACTTAAACAGAAAAAAGAGACTTACTCAATCCATTCCACTTGGTTTTGATCTGGGTAATGTTGGCTCCAAAAGTCCTCCTCCTTCACTGTTATGCCAAAGGAATCTAATCTTCCCATCATGTTTTTGTCAAATCTCTGGTTCATTCGTACGCTGTCTTGACGCTTCAGTATTTGACGAGATTCTGTAAATATAAAGTGAAAAACAAATGATCACCACCAAGCTCTTCAGTGTTTTGTTTGGTCTCAAACAAATGCCCAAGACAATTCTCATTGATGATTTTTAATAAAGGGCTGATGATATGTGATTCTGACAATCAGCATTCAAATTTCATACAGTGCCTTAAAATGCATGCTACTAGCTATAGGTTCAGGGTGTAAAGGGTGAAAGAAGGTGGAAAATCTTCTCCCCTTTCCCATCAACTTTTTGTTTTTTCATTTTGTGCATCTGTCTGTGTTGCTCCTCATATATTAACATTTAAGTGTGTGAGGCATGAAGTATCGTGAAAATTAATTTTTTTGTCCTTGTCCTTTACCTGGATTTCCGTCTCCCTTTTCAGATGGTTCAGCCTGCTTGGATGATGATGCCTCATCGGCTGGAGGCACGTGGGATTCGATATTCATTTTAGATATTTCTGCATCCATTTTATTGGCAAGTTTGTCAAAATTGCTTTCAAAAGCATCTTCTTCAGTGAATAAGTTCCATTCAAATCTTGCTAATTGAAGTTTCCTACAGAAAAAAATGACAATGGTGCAAATGAAAAAATTCAGTTATTTAATTATTTTCACATGGATGAAAAAAAAACACATCATTTTTTTATAACTCAAAATAACTGCAGCTGATTCTGACACTAATGAAAATTGTTTCCAAACTAATTGTGTCCACCATTACTACAAACACATTTTCCAAAATAATCTCTTAAACATGAATGATTTATAAATAAATATGTAAAATTGTTCCTTATAAAAAAGATGTCATGAAATCAAAACTCTTTCCATCCTTAAATACTCACATTCCTGTGTCCATCAAAGGGAAAAGTTCTTCTGGAGTCTTGAGACCACATGGGAAGATTGGTTTATTGGAGATATAGGCAAGAGCCAATTCATCCTGGCAGTACTTAGACGCTATGGACTTTTCACTTAACAAAGAAATGAAAAGCTAAAAAGATGAAAAAGAATTCTGTATTAACAAAGAAAAATAATTAAAACAAGATAAGTTTTAACTTAATATATTAACTGAACTTACTCTAGCATATGTAGTAAATTAATAATAAGCTATTATAATAATAAGTTTATTTTGAAACATTGCAACCATAAGGCTGAAGTTGTATATAAATGAGTTTAAATAAAAAACCTGGAAATAAAATAAAACATAAAAGATTTACATTAAAGGGATAATAGCTCTTCGTTTTGGCCAAAAAATGAATTTTCCTGGAGTAAACAACAATTTTCCCATACTTACCAATGGTTAATGAATCCATTTTTACATTCAAAGTTAGTCCTTGTTTTTTTCTAAAAAGTTTGTTTTTTTGTTATAATCTCTTAAGAGATTTTAACTGAGTATAGCCATCAATGGAGGTCACGTGGTCTAAGACAAGCTCAGATATCAGAATAATAGCTATAGCTGCCATTTTTGTGGTATAACAGAATATATTATATTTCTATGAGTTGTTCACAATGTTTTTATTGTGAAATATAGATCTCATACCAAGAGTTATTATCCCTGTAACATTAAAATGAGTTCAAAATAAAACTCAGACCTCTAAAAGCAGATTAAAGAAAAGGGGATAAAATTAGGCTTATCCTTGACATTCTTAATTTTTTTAGGAAAGTTTTACATAGTTTTATGCTCTGCTTTTCTAAAGTAAAGTAAAACAAAATACAAATAATTTTACCTTTTTTCCAAATCAATCATAAATCTAGTTAAAATATTTGCTTTGGCAAAATGATCCAGCTAATAGTCAAAAATAGAGTTTATCAGTCAAGAAGTCTGGACTGACGGGCAACATAGAGCAAAACATAAATCAACACCCAGAACAACATTGTGTATGCGGCACACTCAACACCTGACATGGTAATCTGCTCCCAATAATTCAAGTCGAAACATGCAAACATGCAATTAATATCACTTATACTTTAATATAGCAGTCTCTTGCATGATGTGCATAAACTGTAGATCTTAACATATATTTCTTGTAAGATTGAAATAAGCCCTAATTCCGTGAGACTTATAATTTATGTGATGCATTAAATAAAAAATAATAAAATAATAATAGAGGATGAAAAATATTCTTACCTTTAATTTCAACACATTTCTCACAGTATTCTTTCATTCATGTATGATATCTTCACAAAATATTAAAATCCACTCCAAAACATACTGGTGTGCTCAGTAACACTACTTAACACAATATCTTGGGATTGATTTGCTTAATTACAATTTGAACTTGTGGAGACAAGACTTTAAATTACAAATTCATGTTTAATTGTTGAATCACATTTCTGACAAATGTGGCCTCATTATGCTGGGAATTAATGTAATGTGTAGATGGAGGGGGCAACAGTTTGGAAGATGGCCATCATTTGAGAGCCTGCATGGAAAGATGCTGATACTTAAACATCAACTTAATATAGATGATGTATTGAAGAAAAAGCAAACCAAATTTCTTTGAATTCTTGTGAATAGGTTTTTTAATTAATGAATCGATATCATTCTGCAGCTCAAAGTTGGGAATGTTTTTACACACACACTCACACACACACACACACACACACACACACACACACACACACACACACACACACACACACACACACCACTTACCTTTGCATCAATAATAGCTTGCCCTATTTTACTGAGAAAGTCTACACCAGCCTTGAGACCGATTGTGTCTACCCATACAGATATTCCATGCTTCTCTAATGCATCTGAAAAGATGACAAAATACTGTAACATGTTACACACAAATAACTTAGTATAAAATATACAGTAAAGTTACTGCAGAGGACTTCAAATATATACATTTAAGTAAATTACTCTTTCTAATTATAAATACACAGACATAGTGTAATACTCAGTAGGTTCACAAACAAAAAGAAATATCATTATCAAAATCTTTAAACAGGTTCAGTTTGCTATTGCATAGTTTTTTGAGGCTGAAAAAAATTGTTCTGTAACTAACCTTTGAGTTTGTTCATCATATCTTTATCAGCATGGCTGTAGCTAATCATCACATCTTTGGGTTCAACAATGTAGTCAGACTTCGTCTCCTTTTGACCAGTTTTACTGGTTTTGGAGGGAGAAGAAGCAGAAGAATTCTTCCCAGTCTGAATGCTGGACCCAGAACCCATGATCTCGTATCAGACAACTACAGTGCAGTACTCAGTCATTGGGTTTTCGTGAATGTCACATGGCCATGGTATAAAAACTTCAAAATGATCTCCTCTAAAATAAATGCTGTTAATTATGTCCAATGTACATTGTAAACCATTTATTCAAGTTTTCTATAACGATAGACTTGTACATGTACTAGTATCTACAACAAGTCAGAAATGAAAGGAACAGAATTATATAATGTAACACCTGCAGAAATAACGATTATATAATTTGAGTCGGTTAATTACAGTATATCCACTTGGTTATTTCACAACTAATTCCACACTAAGCAACTTTTATCACCATTATTTTTGTTGTTGTAACATACCAAGTACTACAGACTAAATATGGCGATTTAATGCTATTTCTAGTTTTTTAAAAAATCCTAAATGACTGATCTCCAAGTGTTTGTAGCTTATGTATGTTTGCAGTAAACGCTTGATTGGAGCAATCACAACATTGTCCGGACGACAACATGTAAGTAATTTGATAAAGAAAGCAATGTAAAACCTACCAAATGAAGCCAACAGAATCAGGAACCTTCGAAAATTTAACTACTTTCTCTACAGAACTTTATCAAGTGTGTGAAATATACTAAATTTCTTCACGTCAACATAAGTTTACATGTTGTCAGCAAACGACCATGGCTTCTTATTACGGATACAGTTTAGAAAGTATAATATGCTAGTACAAAATGAAAATATTTCTTTTACAACGTAAATGAGCACAAATAAAAAACACTGTTTTAAATAATTCTGCATTAGAATATCTTTACTGTTTCATTTATTTAAAAAATACCACATGAAAATAAAGCAAAACTTCAGCATAGGTACAAAACGGCTCTACATTTAAAACAGGTAAGGTAAACAAATTTTCAATGCATGTAGCGAAGGTTGAGTATAATCAGTAGTGACCTGAATGTGATCAAAATTTTCAGTCATATACTACTACAATTTAAACAGAAATAGTCCTTTTCTCGATGATACTTTACCTTTTAATTAAGATACCGCGGCCCTAACCACAGGTTTTGCCAATGGCTATGGTGCTACTGTGCGCTGTATGATTCCACTAGATATCAAGGTACTTTTGTAAGACAGATTCTCTGGCTGTCAGTGACTGTAACTCTGCCAAATTTGGACATACAAGAAACAGGAAACCTGAATATTGTATATTTATATATTTCAAGGTGAAATGATTGGTACATCAATTGAAACCTGTTGCAGGCAGTGAGATATATACAGGGTACATACCAGTACAGCAAGTAACTTTCAGTGCGTGTTATACTCGGTGACACTCCTCTTTTACCTGGAGATGGAGCTGTCCCACCACCCACCACCTTCTTCAGCGTCCAGTGGTAATGTTGATGTGCTTATAAGTCATAATCAAAAGGATAAAGAATTTGCAGACTTCCTGGCAGGTAATGACCATGCCAATTTTTTTTTTTAGTAAAATGAGCTAAGAAGTTGTCTCATACAACTCCTTGAATGAACATTAAGAAATTTGAATGATAAGAAGTACTGGTAGCCATTAACTGATTTTGAATGTTTTAAATCTAATTTTACATTGTCAACAGTTGTGCATAATTATGATTTATTTTAGACTTTTTGTCAGTCTTTATTATCAAAACCATCATTTCAGCAGTTTATTCAGATCTTACAAATGTAGCTGGAAAAATACTGGTAGAAAGATGGACAGTATGATTATCTATTGCAGATGCATTAAAGAAAGAAGGTATTCATTGTGAACTTGGAGACCCAAAGAAAGCTGATGCCCAAAGAGTATTAGATTGTAAGGTATGGAAACAAGTATGATCTGAAATACTTAATGCAAGCTGATCTTGAAATAAAAAAGCCATTAAATTTACCTATATATATATCTTAATTGCACTGTTGTTTGTGTACAAGTGCTTTAGACACAAAATATTCTCCAAGAGATGGACATTTTGGTATCATTTTTTAGAAAAATAATTTAAAAATTGGCATACATTAAACTTTGATATCTCATGCAGTAATATGGAAAGAAACTTTTATTTCTAAATGTGATTTTTAACTTTTGATTTTGTGGGCAGAGAGGTTGCAAAAAATGCATCAATCAAAGATATTTTGTCTATGCAAAATGAAACTTCCATTTAGTATTATAATTATATTATTGAACCATATTTTTCTTTTGTCTCAAGGTCCTTGTCCAGGTGCTAAGTGAAGAAGCAGCAGTGGACCACCACCTGCAAGATGAAGTGTCTTTGGCATACATATCTAATAAAGCAGTCTTTCCTGTTGGGCTGAAGTATTATGGAAAGATTGCATCCCGCCTATCCCCTGGAATGTACATATATACACAGCTTATGTGCTTTACTTTAATCAAACTTCTATTATTTTCAAATATTGTTCTGTACCGATGTAGATTAATGATGTTGTGTAATATTTCTTTGATTTGCTGAATCAGATGTAGATTTTTTTCTTTATTTTCAAAGGGTAATACTCATCATATTCGTTGCAGGAAACTTATGTTGGCCAAGATCAATTGGACATTTTTTGTCACTAAGGAACATGAGGTAGAACACCTTCCTGGCCTTATAAGTGGAATCAAGTTTGAAATTGACTCCTTTAAGTCAAGACAGGAAGAACTCGCTAGGCAGGAGGGAACATATAGAATTAATTTCAGCAGAATGACCAGTAAAACAGAAAGTGCCAATTCAGAGGGAGATTCAGAAAACATTGACTTCTGGGACAGACACTTTGCCAACCAAACTGAGGTTTCGTGGAATGACTTTAGAGAGCGTTTTGTCAGTGACTATGGTGAAAGATTAAAAGAACAATTTGGGGATGAAAATGATGACAGAACCAAATGGATCACTCACTTGATCTATCAAGATATTTTTGAGTTAAGGAAACACATTGCAAGAAATGTCTATGATAGATTTTGTGGCACAACAGATGTAGCCTACAATCGCAGAGATCTTTTCTGCAATAGAATGACTGAATATGCAGTGGCTTATCTTGCCATGAAAGAAGTATTCAGTATGGACAGCTCAGTTAGATTGACAGCAGTCAGAAATTTAGGTAGGGCAAAATTATAAATGTGTGTGTAAACTAAATTGACAAATACTACTGGGTATGTTTTTAAGACGGAGACATTAATGCTCATGAAGTTAACTAGAATTGATCGGTTTAATAAAGATATTTAAAGGAAACTTACGGAATCCAAAAATTAATATAGGCATTTAAAAAAAAGGTATGTTTAATGGAGCAATGCCTCACAGCTAATCATGATCTTAGAAATTCGGTACAACCTGTGCAATTTTTTGGAGCGCATCCAGAGGTATTTTCTGACAGTCTTCCAAATTATCTTTGTCGATCCATCTTCTATTTTTTGTCAGTCTTACGGAAGACCCAGAAGACAGCTTCAATCCACCCCTGCAATATTCTCATACTTTTATGGTACCTTCAATTACTAACTACATATATATTCTTATTTTTAGACTCATTTCATACTTCTGGTGTGAGACACATGCTGCTAACACTTATAAGAGATCAAGATCCAAATATGAGAGCTGTGGCAGCTCTTGCTCTGGGACGAACAGGTACAGCCAATTCTTTAAAAAAAGTGTCGAAATCAAACATTCTTGGTGATGTTTAACTTGAATAAAAAAAGTGATTGATAAAGAGGGCAATTTGCCTCTAACTTTTTCAGTTACCTGTAATAATCTTTTTAGGTACTAATGACTTTCGAGTTATTGATTCCCTAATCAAAGCCCTCAAGGATGAAGACCGTTTGGTTCGTGAGGCAACATGCATCTCTCTTGGAAAACTGAAAGTGATGAAAGCCATAGGCCTTCTGTTGGAAGTGTGGTACGTTAGCTCACTTATAACTTATAATTTAGTTAGAGTGTAGCTTTAGGGAAAAACACCCCAGTTTCATAACATACATTCATATTTGTAGAGTTTTCACACCAAAAAGATGATTTTACAGAGTATGATTTGTCTTTAGAGCATAGATTGATTGAACCAATAGCAAAGTTTTAACTGGTAGATGTGGAATATTTACCAGCTCCAATATTTGGTTTCAAGTGTTTGTGTAATTTTTAATGAACTGGAGGATTTAGTGAATTGGAGGATTTAGAATTTCAAAATTCTTTTTCTATAGGCGAAATGAACCAATTAAAGATGTGCGCCAAGCAGCAGAGAAAGCTTTAAATTTGATGGGAGGGAAGGATGCAGAGAAAGCTATTAAGGTCACACAGGTTTTGAACTCAGAGATTCAGAAGTTGAAGATGGCCAAGAAAGCATAATACGATGTGATTAATGAAATGAACAATCAGGGGACAACAATCACAATATTTATTTGATAGTATAAACAGAAAGTATGCTTCATTCATCAATAATTTTATTGCGGTAATTTTTAGAAAATACTAGAAACATAAATTGCATTTTTAGACTTCAGTAATTTCATAACACTTATATTGTATCACATTTTCAATTTATGTATAAAACCTATATTTTCAAAATTATTGCACTTTTGCACCATTTAATGAAATCCATGTTAATCTGATTTTTTATATTTTGTAATGAGTAACATATTTTTTTCTTATACTGACTCCTCCCTAGAATATTCCCTAGTAATACTTGATAATTTCTGTGTTTTTTAAATTTAATTTTCATTTTACCTCAAACCTTTATAATAAAAAATAACAATGAAATATCACCATAATGATACAGAGACAGACAATATTTAAATGATCATAAATGAAAATTATCAAACACAAGCAGAAATAATATAATGACTTAATAATAACCCTGTAAAGCATTTATAAATATCACTGAGAAAAGTCTTAGTTGTTTTTGTGTGGGTCACTGATATTTACTACTCGATGGATGGCAATCTGCAGGTCAGTGAGTGTCCTGGAATATTAAAATGAAAATGCTTAAAAGTGTAGTTTTGGTTTCTTTGTCAGGTGAGGAAAACTGCATGAAACATGTACACTCAATGTGCTCTTGGACACAGCTGTCACTTCTTATAAAAAAACCTGTGATATTATGTTCAAATTAAAAAAAAGACGAGGAAAAAAATTAATTCTAATGCTGGATCTTGTGTTGTAACGGTGATCATGATGTTTCGACCTTATCACAAGGCCTTCTTCAGATGAACTTATTTTGAATTGTCACTGGTGACTGGTTTAGATGAGGAGTGAAAGAGGCCAATCGTTAAACAAACCTCCCTCGCCAAGTACAGTGGCCTGAGATGACAACTACCACATCTGTGGGACCAGGCCCTGGGAGACATCCCATGTAGACTGTCACCACATGACAGCAGTGACAACTAAAAATCTGTTCACCTGAGGAAGACCTTGAGAAACAAGGTCAAAACGTATTGATCTCTATTCTAACATAAGATCCAGTGTTAGGATTAACTTTTTTCATTATCTAAGTATAATACATCTGGATAAATCAAAACTTTCACTTTGATATTGAAAAAATGATACATGGATTGTGCTAACCTTCATTTCTCTCCCTTTTGTTTCAATAGGTAATAAAAGTGCTGCTATGGTGGTAACTATACTTATACCTCCATATATAGAAACTGGGATATATATTGATGTGCGTAATAAAACCTAAAAATGAGAAATAAAAATGAGATTGCATAAGCATAACAAAGATTGCATAAGGATAACGGAGTATACATGGTATATGCAAGATTTGAAGTGTCATAACTGGCTAAAACTTTCACTTTACACATTTAAATATTTTAAATTTGCATTAAAATTTGAATAAAAATAAATTGAATTCAAATAAAAAATTTAATCCTCTCACCTGAGCCACAAAAGGAGTTATCATTGCACCAATCCTTGACATACCACTACATACACCCACTCCTATTGCACGGGTGGTGGTAGGATACACCTGGGGAAAATTACGATCTAGAGCTATAATCAAGATTTATCTTTTATCTTTTATGCACTTTATCTTTTTTTAAAATTCATTTAGAACTCTGTCCATGTAAGGCTCCATTCCCATAGACACCATTCATTACCTGGACTGATCAAACCCCTGAGGGGGCTCTTGCTGAATGTAATCAGTTCAACAAACTAACAGTTCCCTCCTGGCATTAAATAGAATATGGAAAAGCTGGTGATTATACGAGTACATTGGAAACAAGAGGAGGCACGTCATTCAGTTAAGCTGATTGCACTCAGCGAGATTCCCCATAGAGCTGGGTAAATGTAGGTACCAGTAGACTGATGGAGTCTATGGGAATAGGTCTAAGGTGTGGTCTAAGGTAGAAAGTTTTGACAGAATGAAAAAGGAAAAAAAATTAAAACCACATGCTGCTGTAGTATATTGCTCACCTCTGGAGTATACACATAGCATGCCTGGAAAGCACCTGATATGAAAGCTCTTGCCACAAATATGAAAACTATCAGCACAGTCCTGAAATTTGAAAACCAAAATTTTCAGTTTATCTTTTACAGCATCAAATAATATCACATGATACAATTCTATAAAAACAAAAGGTAATAATGGTAGGTGCAGTCACCAATGAAAAAGTCAATTATGTAATATTATGAAAAAGTCAATTATGTAATATTCATTCACCTTGATATAAAAACTTGATATAAAAATGACTTACCTTGATGGACAAGTGCAGACTAATAAAACAAATACAGAGAAGACAAAAAAATCTAGTGCGATGGTTTTCTTCCTGCCCAAATAATCAATGGCTAGTAAGGTGATGATCTGACCTATGACAAAAACGTTCACTATAATATTTATTATTGATATTATTATTATAATCTTTTTTATTTATATTTTTTTTTTTTTTTGCAAAAAAATACATTTTTTATCCTTCCCTGTTATGAAAAAGTGGAAATGCAGGAATTAAAGGCCCCATTGCACTCAATCTAGTGAAAATGAGGAATTATAGAATTTTTTTTGTTCATTAATAGAATAGAGAAATATTTTGAAAATAACAGAAATTTGTCTTAGATATTACTAAAAATTCATGCCAATCATCTAATGATGTAATTGGTAGTATGATGACAGTTAAACAGTTACTTACCTGGAAACTCTGCCACTGTGGTCCATAACAGGTCTAGGTAGTCTTTTGTGGATAACATTTTACAGTCTAGGAAACAGCCTGATTCTTGAACTTTTTGGCCTACTAAAAACACATAACAATGAAAAAATTAGTATCTCATTTACATACAAAGAAGAATAATCATAAATATTAATGTAATAAGCTCCCATTTATAAAAAATAACTATAAAAAGTTGTATAGTCATTGATATTGTAAAGAAACAAAAATACATGTGAATCTCAATTTTTGACTTTACCTGAACTGTAACAGGGATTTTCTTCATCAAATAGTTCAGTTGTCAATAAAGCTATGCCATAGTAACAGAAGGAAGAACTAAACCTGAGGAAAAAAGATTTGAAAAAAGTTGGTATTACAGTTAATTATTTTTGAACTGATAGTGATATTTATAAAAAAAGTTATTATTATGATTAGTTAAAAAAGATGTTAAAACAGTACCATAGACCCAACAGTATTATTGTTGTTATTCTTAAATCTGGTGTGAATAAGTCTTGCACTCTTCCTCGCTTCACTTCCTGAAAAGAAGAACAAAGCTTTAAATTTGTTTGGTTTAAAATATGTAAAAGAACTAAACAGGCACCCTTGAAATATCATTTTTTGTCTTTGAGAACTGTATAACAAAACCAGTCATATGAGACTGCATGAATGCAAGTTTTCCAATTCATATTTAGTTGGTTAAAAGTTTGTTAGAGTAAAGAGAGTATTTATTATGGGTATGTGATCAAGAAAAAGGTTTACTCCCAAAATCACTTACCACTTGTTCTGGATTTACAGATCCAGCATGTATCAATTTCCCCTCAGGCATGGGCTTATTATTGTCTTTAGCTATTCTTTCTATAATGGCATAGGCAACATCATGCCGACCATTGGTCATTTCATATCTTGCGCTCTCTGGAAGCCACTGAAATATAATTTTTTTTTAAATTTGACAACGGACAATTTTCTTCTATTTCATCTTATTTTAATGTGACTTATCATCATATTCTTACTTTTCTATGGCCACCACTTTAAGTCAAGTAAAACATTTATGTGACAAAATTATGACAAGATGTGAATAAATAACAAAATTTTGCATTTGTGTAAATATTCTTGCTTAATGTATTTGCTTACCAAACATGCTAATATGAAAATTAACACAGGCACAGAAGAAAGTCCAAGCAGCCATCTCCAACCCAAGGTAGGCATCACTATTACAGCCAAAGCAACCTCTATACAGGTCCCAGCTGCCCAAAACATCTATAAATGTGTAGTAAAACATTGTTGAGATAAGGAGTTGCTCATTATTGACTACTTTTGGTATAACTCTGTTTCATGTTTTCACTAAAATGTTGAATGCGTATTAAAAAGATTGGTTTAATGCATTTCCAGTGCCTTCTCACCTACCTCACTACTTTCACAGCACAACACAATGCTCTCCTGTCACTCAAAACACCAGTTCACTCCTGGTACAAAACCACACACAGCACAATTGTCCCTCCTGGCACAATTCCAAACAAACCACTATATCTCTCTTAGCACAATATCACACATAACACTTTATTTTTTCTGGCACAGCATCACAAAATAATACTAAGTTATTAAATAAAACATCACCCCTCCCAGCATAGCATAATAGGAAAACATACCTCAAAAAGCACTAAACCCTTGGCCCTGAATGTGGATGGGAGGAATTCTGAATACAGAGTGACACTGGAACATATCAAGTCACAAAACACAAATATTATGATTATTATTATCATGAATATTATTATGAATATTATTACGAGGAATACATGTATACATACATTGAAATTTCCAACAATTTTACTTTAAACACCTGGGGGGAACCTGTAGCATGCAAATCTCCACTAGGAAACTATTGTATATCAATTCATTTTAACAAGCAAAAATGTTTGGAGAGGGTAACGCTCTAAAGTTTTATCCATTATGAGTACCAGTAATGACATATTTGACAAAGTTGAGCCATATTAGCCCATATTGTATGGAATTTTCTTCAATCATCAATCAAAAACTACACTTCAGCCTAAACTACCAATTTGAGTTTATTGATGACAGTTAGAAATAATCAAAAACATTCAGTGATACACTTACGCTTGTGGAGCTCCTCCAATTCCAAACCCAACCAGTCCTCTTAATATCCATATCCATATAAGGCTAGGGGAGAAGGTACTCAGTAGCCCATAATGGAATACAAACATGGAACTTGTAATCAAGGTCTGAAAAAAGATTAATGATTTGGTACGTATCTAGATGCTGATTGAAGGACAATTAAGTAAGAGAAAGTGAGAAGGCTAGCACTTTATAAACATCCCAAAATAGTTTTTCTAAAATCTCTGGGGGTATTGTGAGGAAAAACTTGAATAGTCTGCTTATGCAAGCCATATGGGCATTTTTCTTGAGACCTGGTTCACAGACAGATCCACTGCCAAACCCCTGTGAATGTTACTGAATATTTGCAACTATGTTGCAGCTTGTAACTCGAATCTCCCTTCTTGTCGTAAAAATTTAGTTGAGTAAAATCTGTCACCTATGACATTTTTAACCTTTTTCCTGCTGCTGCTGAAAGTGTGTACGTGTCATCTAATAATAATAATAATAATTATATTAATAATTTATTAAGCCAATAAAATACAAATGTATAAAATCGGGAATCATTTGCCCTGTATAGTAGCGCCATTGAAATATAAAGAATGAAAATTAAAATTACATGTTAGAGTTAAAAATAGTTACTGCCGAAGGATAAAAGCTATTTAAAAATCGCTTACTACCCTTAAAAGCTAAGAGTCTCGAATTGCTAGGTAAAAATTTTAAAAGGGTATGGGCTGGATGGGAACTGTCTGTCATTATTGATAATGTTTTCTTTTTAGTCCTGTCTAGATATATAGTATGGACGGGAGTTAGATCTGTTCCAATTACAATCCCTGCAGTTTCGACGATCTTTTCCAACTTGTTCCTCTCCTCCACAGTTGCACGTCCATACCAAACAGTTACTGAATAAGTTAAAATACTCTCTAAAACACACCTGTAAAAGTTCGTTAAAATAAACACATTCCTGGTAAAAGCTTTCAATTTCCTTAAGAAATACATTCGTTGACGTGCCTTTTTCAATAGCTTCGTGATGTTATCGCCCCAGGTTAACCTATTATTCAGCTGAACCCCTAGTAATTTATAATTAGAAAACTGTTCGACCGCTTTACCGTTAACTTCCAAGGGATTTTTACTTAACTTCAAGGAAAATTCTACAATTGACTTCTGGGATACATTCCAACAATCCTGTGTTTCTCCAAAACATGATAGGGTCAGTAAAATAAGATTTCACCCAAAAATTATGAATGTAAGAGTTATGAATCCCTGCAAGCAAAGAATAAAATTTATTATATTTGAACCATTCTTACCGTTTTTCTTCCATATTTATCACACATTGATCCCCACATCCAAGAGCTGATTGACATACCAATAAAAACAACCTGGGTGGCAAGAGTTTTAAAATTAGATATATAGAAATATATTTGCCCACTTTTGAAACAAAACTAATATTGCTGTCAGTTTTCATAAAATGCCTTAACCCCCCCAAAATATTAGACAAGGTTATACTTATTCATTTGTTATAAACATTTTTTTTATTTGAAAAGGTATTGTGTTAAAGAAATATATTAGACAATGTTATACTTATTCATTTGTTACAAACATTTTTTTTAATTTGAAAAGGTATTGTCTGAATTTTTTTCGTTTTGTATGACTTACAGTGGTGATGAGGGCCTCTTCCCATGTTTGCAGATTCCATTCACAGCGCAATGCGGGGCCCAGTACGCTGAGTAACATCATCTCCATGGCATCACAAACCTGACAAGACATTGAAATTTAACCCCATTCGATAATGACAAATGTATCTGATGGCAAATTTATTTTGTAACTTAAGACAATCTATGTGGTGATTGCAGTGCCTTAAAGAAATGCTGAAATTATTATTTGTGCCAGGTTAAGATTGGACACTTTATGCACATTTTAAGATTTTTTTTTTTTTTTTTTTTTTTGCACATACGTTGTACATGTGGGAAACTTTGCTTTATATTTGAAGAACATTCTAAGGCTGTATTCCCAGAGCTTTTAGATCGATCTATCCCCGCGGGGAGTCTCACTAGATTACTGTCAGATAACCCGGCTTAAATGTCCGTCCCGCCTACTACAAGCTGTAAGGGGGTAATTAACTTTCGTGTCCGCTCGGCTGACAGCTATTTAGCGTGAACACCCAGGGAGTTAGGTCGATCTAAAGTAGATCGATCTAATCTCTGGAAATGGGGTCTATGACCTGAATTTTTAACTTTGTGCACTCTCATGACAATGAAAGTTTGTTTACGTAAAGATAATTATAATGATAAAATTAATTTCTAAAAATTATTTACCCATGCTAAACCTGCAACAAAAAATAACTTGACTTGAAATTTGCCAAATCCAATAGCATCCACGGCCTGTTCAACTGTGAATGTGTCTGAAATAATTCAGAAATTGAAATTAATTCAAAGTTAATAATTCATTGACTCTCACTGTTAAAATAGCATTAAATAAAATATGCAAATTTGTAATCACTACATTTATGGTGCATATATAAAATCCACACTTATACATCTATTTTTATGAAACAAATTTTATTTTATTAATTTCATGCAGGCAGGCAATATATATATATATATATATATTATGTATGACTGGATATTAAACATGGTAAATATTTTACGCTATTCTGCAGTGCATGGAAAGGTACATTTTTATTACTGCACAGAAGGCTATTATACACTCAGTCTGGTAAATTAATATATATACTGGTACACATTACATTCAGACGATAAATTAAATTTGGTACTGTGGTGCCAAGGAAAATTCACTTACTCGTGTAAACTCATGGTTTACCATCATGAATTAATTGCAAGGAGATTTGTAAAGTCTCATATGAGTTTGGCAACAGATATCTATGTGTTTGTCCTTCATGTCTTTCATAAAATTCATACTATTTGTGATGGAGGAGATGTATGCATTGAATGCAAAAAGTTCTTCATGTTGGCTTGGACATAATAATGTCCATGATGTTGGTCAGGAAATGAATGACATAACATGTCAGAGGTTTATTCCATATCATGTAATATATTTTTGCATCCAAGCTTTTACACTCAAACTTACTTTTGTATAAGATGTAATGCCTAACTTAAGTTAAACTGAGAAAATATTCAAACCTTCATCAAGTCTAAACTAACCACTGGCTTATAATATGTAGCAGTTACTGTTATGTCAAACAACTCAATGTCAGCCATATAAATTGTTCCCAAAATTATGACAGCTTTATCAAAAACATTCCAAGGTAAATATCCTAATAGTAAACTCAGTCTATTACCTGGATGTAATTCCTGTGTGTCTTCAGTTCTTTCCGCTTTGGGGGTGAATGTTTCCAAACAAACATCTTCCTGGGAGCTTGGTGTCTTGTCCCCCTGTTCATTACTATCTCCATCAATATTGTCATATTCCTTATGCTTGATCTTAGCAAGTCTATTTCTCAAAGAATTGAACATTAGTCACCTGTGTGATTGCTTCTTGACCATAAGTGCATCTGTGACTTCCAAGGATATATATTGTTGCCCACATATAAAGTGGAGTATGTAATATTCAGCTTTGTTTTCACTGTGGTTTGTACTGTATTATATAGGTCACATGTGCTGGTATAGACACATTATGCTGACTATTAGACTATTACCAAGCATCACTTCCTAAATCAGATAGCCACCTTAATTATGAGGGTCCCATTGAGTATCGTCATGGCCTGTGAAAGGCACTTTTTATTTCCCCAGGATGTATGAAATGCTCATATTATTTAGTGTGATCCATGTAGAGCCCCATGCCCACGATTTGTGAATGCACCTTTTTATTTTTCATTATACTTGGTAATTTGTGATTTTGAACTCATATTTCCTGCATTTTCAATTCAACATACATTTTTTTTTTTTTAGTTTTATTTCCTGAGATTTGTGAATTGATGATTTTCTTTCCCCTGAGCTCTATCCCCCAGTGGAACCCTCACCTTATATTTGATGGGTGCACCTGACCACTTTGATTAGTTTGGTCATAGGTCAGTGCTCACAAGGCATGTGTCATGTCCTTTATGATGACCATGCAGAGATAATATTAGTGTCTAGGTATCATTTTGACAATTAATAATAAAGAGTTTTGTAACTGATATTTACATTTTAAAATATGTATATATTAGTATGTGTGTATGCCATTTTTCAAACATTAAAATAGACAATATAAAGGACATTCACAGTTTTTAATCTTGTCATTTTCCCTTATTAAAACTTTGCTAAATGTGAAAATACAGAAAGGTGACATCATGTTAAAGCATGAGATATGGCACTGAACTTTGCCTTGACTAAACCACGTTTGAAGAGCATTTTAATACAACTTGAATGATTGGAAAGTTGAATTATTAAAATGCAATGCAAACGCATTTTATTGGAGGTTTACTCATCAATGAAATGCTGTAATGGTGTCTTTTAAGTAGTTCAGTTTTTAAAATAAATTCACTGCGTTTACTAAAGTCTTATTTTGAAATCATGTTCACAGGCCACCATATTACACATTCAGCATAATCCTGCACTATACCCTCCCACAAATATTACACAAATACATTTTGTAAACTTTATAACCATTTATTATTTCTTCAACAACCATCTAGGTAACAGTTAACCTTACGTGTCAATACACAACACAAAAATTGCTGCTCACAATTATCCATTTATCTATAACATCCAACACTGTACAATAAATATATATATCTCTATAGTAACAAAAAAGTAATAAATAAATGCTAAAATTCAAAATTCTGTAGAGTAATCTCTTGGATTGGTTTGTTCTTCATAATGGCATGGAATGTAGTTCTTTCAACATTTTTAAGATAAGTAGTGCCAGTAAAAACAGAGATGTTTTGTACCTGGGCCCCATAACTCGAAAGCATTGCGTAATGCGAATAGCAATATCACATAGAGGCTACAGTGTATGAGGCAAGATATAGAATCGAGATGCTTGCACTCGGTCACAATATGCCATGCTTTCAAGTTACAGGGCCCTGAACGGCAATTGCGACTATCACAGTAGTTCCCCATTAGCTATCAGTATGTACGACTAGTATGCAATGATCACTCAAGTCATGAACAATGGTCTATTGGCAGTCTAACATTCTATTGCCTATTATTTCATGCAGCACTCTGTGTGTGTGTGTGTGTGTGTGTGTGTGTGTGTGTGTGTGTGCATGCATGAATGCACAGATCAGGTCCACCTTGCATTGGTTGTGTTATCTCTTCTTTTTAAATACATTGTTTAAATTTAAGTTCTGATATTGGTATACATAGTAAACATACGCTAACATTTTTACAATACATAATATTGATTCTTGTGAGAAATACGTCTTTCTATTTAAAGTTGAGTTTTATGCTTGATCTTTTATTTGAAAATATATAATTTTAAAAACAAAACCAAAAATGTTAATTTTATCATACTAAAACATACCATGTTATCCTTCAAACAAAACATAGTTAAAACCCTTAAAATGAGCTATAAAAAATATCAATAAAGGCACATAAAACAAAATATTTCAGCTAGAAAAGCATTTAACTTAAATATCACTTGTTTATCATGAAATAAATAACATTATATAAAAGCAAATTATAACTGCCCAAAACCAGTGTATAAGAGGCTGATACTATATTCGAAGACTGCCTTGTATATTATGCAAAAAAGATGCTTGTCAATTCAGTTTATTCTAACCAGTACATGATTTATACTCTCTGATATGTCTATCTTCTTTTGACAAGAAAACTATTTATCTTCATTCTCTGGTTCAAAAGATTTTCTCAATACCTTACCAATATTACATATAACTAATCCTTGGTGCACCATAGGGTGTCATTTAACACAAATCCACGTGGAATGTCATCTTTCAAGAAGTACTCTGAAGTGAAAAAAATTAACAGAGCAAAAATAAAGATGGCACTCCATTGTACTTTTAGGTAAAAATAAACAAGAACTTGGTTTCTTTGATATATACTAGCTTATTAGGTACAAGATACCTTACAGTCACCATGATAGCCTGTCCACGCCAAACACGCCAAACATCAAAACCTTGAAGAGGACCAATATTCAAAAGGCAGCAAAAGGTTTTGCATCACCTTATAGAAATAATGACCCCATTTTCTTTCAATGGTGTGATCAGGAAAAAACGACAAAGAATTAGAAGTTAAAAGTATTTAGTGGTTTTGAGTACAGATAACTACATACAACAATTTCTACTGAAAAACTTATAAATAAATACTTTAACTGTTTCTCCCTTTTTTTGGCACAGGGCATTCATATTCAATATCAACTGATCAGAGATGAAAGTGGACCTTTTCAAAACAAATCTTGAAAATGCAAGCGCTGAAGGAATACAGCTATATATTCCTGCTATATTGGAATTAGAGGGATTTTTCACAATTTTTTTTTTAACATACACCCTATATCTGGATTTCTGGATAAATCCAGTACACTTTCATCTCTGATCTTTAGCCCAGCTCAGAACAAGTCTTTACTCTTTCATTACCACACAAAAACATCTATATAACTAGGTTGCCTTACAGTAAATACCACAGGAGCAAGGAATCCCACCTCTTATAAAATAAACTAGCATATACCATCTACAGGGTGCAGATTTATTTTTTTCCACAACTTAAGCAAAATTGGCTTGAACAGGTAGGTCCAAATAAATGTTAAGAGAAATAGTAGACCAAAACGGACAAGTGGATCTATCAGTGCCCTCAACAGAGCAGATATAAGCCACCATTTGAAAGTTACCCAGTGCTTTTAGAATCTGCACCCTGAACTGTTGGCAATAATAGAACTGATGTCAAAGGCTGGTGTTGTTAGTTAAGCCTGCTAAGAATCGTAGCAGAATAAGTTGGATTACGCAAAGAATCTGGTAAGTCGCTTACCACATTAGACCAAATTCCACTTTTTTTTAAGTTGAATTTTACTCCCAGATGCTTATTTGGTATGTATAGCATATTTCTTATATCCATTTGGGAACCATTTTAGACCACTGTTATTCAGTACACTCCATGTACATTTGGTTATTATTATTTAGCATTCTTAGTTTTAGACTAAAAACTTGGTTTTGTTGGGAAACATGACGTTGATCCATAGTGTCCCTTTCTTTTCAATGAAGACTGCTGACATGGTGAGGTTCTACCTCCTGAGAGTCAGGATGGCAAGATGTTAGCTAATGAACAACTGGGGGCAGAACATCAACTGTGGTATCTACATGAGATTCCTGAAATACAAATGCAAAATATATTTTAATACATTTTTGCTATAAATAACATGGTAACCATGTTAGTCAAGTAATGGGTGACACCCAGTACACGACTAACATGGTTATGGTCTCTGCATGCAGAAAAGCAGAAGTCAATGACTTGACATAAGCTGAATCATAATGAGTTATGCTAACACTTGCCCATTTTTTTTCAATTCAACCTTGCAAAGACACCACAATGAAGATTATAATTCAAACCTTGACATGGCAATTCTTACTCAAAATACTCATCAACTATTAACATATCACCTGACAGTTTAAGACATGCCATTTTAAAGTTCTGTAATTGAAATTAATTTAATAGTAATTTTTTCAAAATTGTGGAAGTAAATCCAATGACCCCAAAGTGGAGTTGGCTCAAAGAGGAGGGGGCAAATGTTTCTGGCAACCAAAATGTAGATGCTTGAGCGCTTGTTGTTTATAAATAAAGCAATGCTTACTAACATATGGTACAAGATTTGGACTAAAGTTTGGGGATTCATGGTACCATAAGTTTTCAATTTAATTAGTTAAAACATATATGTCAAATATCAATCTTAACTGATATAAAATGTATATGAAATTTGGGTGTGGAGAACTCAACCAAAGGAAATGCAACCAAGATATTCTAATCTACTCCACATTGTATATGCAGAACATCAAAGGGAGACAAAAGTGTGACTTATCTTAGCAGCTGAAATCAAAGTAATGTTCTTACCTTCATTTCTCTTCCTTTTGTTTCTATGGGTAAAAGAAAGGAGGCTATTGCTGCTGCTATACACACTCCCCCATATATAGACGCAGTTAAGTACACTGATGTTCGTAATAAAACCTGAAACAAATGAGATCAAAATAACCTTTGGGAGTCGTATCTGATCTAGTTCATTTTCATACATGGTCAGCATCATGGTAAAATCACACCAAGTTGCAAAATAGACACACACAAAAAAAATTCTTTATTAAAAAGTGAGAAGCGCTGATAGTACACAAAACACGTGTAAGCATAATTCAAATTTTAAGTTGTACTTCCCCAAATATAACTTTGTTAATACTTTTTTCTACTAAACAAATTAGAATCATTAAACACAATTTTTTCTCAGGAGAAGAAAGGTTTTGATCTTGGAAAACTACATGCTGGATATCAATGAAGTATTTGAAACCTGTGACAAATTACCCATGCAGTCTCATACATTGAGTGCTATTGCCAGATCCATCAACTTTCCCCTCTACCAGGGATCTCTGGTGAATTCCTTAACATTTACTACTGACAGACCTCTGTATTTATTGGGCTTATCAGATAGGAACTAAATTGCACACGATGCAATAAATATTGATCATAGATCCACTATAGAAGAATTTATGATATTATCCCAGTGTGTCCTCTCTAACACTTGCCCTTTGGAAAATCCCAACACTATTTCATGTTTTTGTGAACAATATACTGCATGTGAAACAATTTGAGAGACATATTGGGATATAAATAATATATGTATGCATCAAGACCAATATTATTCCTACCATATTGCGAAATCATTTATTATTTGTAATTACATTATATTTTTGCTCAGAGTTATTACCCTTAAAATTCAGACCATGATTATTTCAAAAATTAATTAAAAAAAAAAAAAGATTTGTCACCATTAGTTATCACAGATACAAACCTTCTAACATAAACCAAACTCGCTTTTCAAAACACACAATCCGTTTTTCAGTTCTACTAAAAAACTGTTGCAAAAATTAAAGTGAGTGTGCTTCATATCGCGTTCTTAGGCACTACTAACAAAAATTCAAATATAAACAGATTGAATAAATCTTGTACGAACTTACTGTAAATTATCATACTTTAAGAAATAAGTAATAGAGATTAAACTTGCTCTTACCTGGGCTACGAAGGGAGTAACAATTGCACCAATTCTGGCCATGGCACTACAGGTGCCCAGCCCTATTGCACGGGTGGTGGTGGGGTACACCTGGAAAAAGAAACACTTGTAATGAGGCAAAACTTGACATATTTGAAGATTAGACTGTAAAGAGATAAAAAAAATTTTTAAAAGATTTGACAAAATATGAGGCAGTCTCTCTTACCCTCATCATTTGATGGTGATTTTTAAGGGTTTGTAAAAAATAACTGCTCACAAAAAGAAAAAAAATTCCCACTTCTCTTAAAAGTTTAATAAGGAATGCAATATGCATTATATATGACTTATATTGCTTTCCATCTCCAACTTTTAAAATCTGATATTTTTTTATTTTTTTTATACTGAGTCTGTAGAAAATCCATCCCTCTCACCTCTGGAGTATACACATAGCATGCCTGGAAAGCACCTGATATAAATGCTCTTGCCACAAATATGAAAAATATCAGCAAACCCCTGAAAAAGAAAATCAACAAATACTTAATAATAAATATTGTAAAAAAAAAAAATGTGAATAAGTCAATATTGCACTTTTAATGGAGCAGTTAAATTTTATATGAGAATACATTTTAGATCTCAAAACATACATATGTGTCTATGTACATACATAAGTACATCAAGGTATATACTTTTCAAATATAAATACCGCAAGAGAAAAGTTTCTGCTCACCTTGTAGGGCATGTGCAGATGAGGAAGGTGAAGAGAGAAAACACCAAAAACTCAAAGCCCATTGTTTTCTTCCTGCCCAGAGGATCAATTATAAACACAGTAAGAATCAAACCTAGAAAAATAATGTTGTTATCCTTGACAACTGAGAAAAAGTGTGGCGACTTATTTTTTAAAGAGACAGGTAAAGGTCAATGGGGGGGGGGGGGGAAGATCAATAGAACATGATAAGTCAGTTGTCAAATGTGGCCAACATTCAGCCCTACACCCATGCTAGACAGAGACTGAGAGTCTCGGTGAGCATCACTGTGAAATTGCCAAGAGACCCTTAAGTAGATATGCAGATAAAACATGCGAGCAGGTAAATATAAGACCTCTGATCATATATTTAACATTGCTATTGACAAAAGAACCCATATACATGAGAAAGTCATTTGTCATAGAATGTAAAATTCAATTTATACCTTTGTTTTAACAGATGAAACACTGGAGCAGGTAAATATAATATAAATTATTATGTATTTCACAATGCTTTTGACAAAAGAACCAATATATACGAGAAAAGCATTCCTCATCAAATGTAGCATTCAATTTACACTTTTGTCTTAAAGTCATATACTTATATACATATAAGAGTAATGATGTTTAAAATTGTCCAAGTTGTGGTTTCCTCATGACACAGGATAATAAGGACGTCCTTTAATGAATTAAGTAGCAATTATGTATAATCAGAACAAATGCTTTGTTATTACCTCATGCTAATTACATAACTATTAGAACATCATTTCTACTTCTGAAGCACAATAATTGAAAATAATGGCCAAGATTTCCTTTTTACCTGGAAACTCTGCTAAGGTTGTCCATAATAGGTCTACATAGTCTTTTGTGGTCAATACTTTACACTCCAAGGAGCAGCTAGGGGCATCTACCTTTCCACTTACTAAATTAATGTGAAAAAGAAATATTCAACTAAAACAATGTAATAAACTTAGTGATCTGTACTAAAATACTTTTACAACCATAAGGATAACAAACCTTTACTTTATATAAGTATTTTATGTAATTTTTGGTCAAAAATAATAGTTTTTTTTTCATAAAAAAGTATGGTTGCATATCAATCTCAACCTACTGATATTTTAAACACAGATCTTTCTCGTAGTAAATTAAACACAATTTTAATATATAAAGACATGGATAAATAATTCATTATAATTAAACAAACCATGGCACGTTTCCCCAGACTCAAACAGCTCAGTGGTCAGTAGAACTATCCCATAGTATGAAAATGCATTGGCAAACCTAAAAAATGGAGAAAGGTAAAAGAAAACGTAGGATGATCAAAAGAAATGCTGACAAAAATCTAACATGATATACATTACTTATGGATTAATTTGATATAATTGTGAATGATTAAACACATTTCATACTGACTGTTGACATTTTGATATTGTTAATCTATGTATGAAAAACTGCAGCTTGTAAAACTATTTACCATATTATCCAAAGCATAAAAGTTGTAACTCTCATTTCTGGGGTAAAAAGGTCCTTAAGCCTTCCTCTTTTTGCTTTCTGAAAATGAAAAGTTGCACTGTTGATAGATTTGTCTTTTTTTTTTTGCTTATGTTTGCCTTCCCATCTGTACTTTTAATAAATGTTACACTTGCATATGTGACTGACATTCAATTATCAATTTAAAGCAGATTCAATAATATCTATTACAAAGTTATTCCTTGAGCCATTTAAACTAACCCAAACATGACTTTGAGACATAACATTAAGTCCACTATTTGACTTTATTCAATAAATCTTACCATCTGTGTTGGGTCCACACTACTGGGTCCAGAGTGAACCAACTTTCCCAGAGGCATTGGCTTATTATTGTCCTTGGCTATCCTCTGAAGTGTAGCCAAGGCTTTATCTGAGCGACCTCTGGCCATATCGAACCGTGCACTCTCTGGTAGCCACTGAAATAATTACGCTAAGTTTACTGAAATCATAGCAACCAAAAGGTTAAAGTTATACAAACAAGCAGATGAAGATAAAACTTTCAAATATATATATATATCCATAAAATATGAAATAAACTAGAGGATCAGAGAGGCGATACCACCTCTGGATATTGTACCACCAGCTGGAGTAAGCTCATTCATATGGAAACCGAAAAAAAGGGACACCACTACCAGTCTTGTGCTTGACAAGCTCCATAAAATGCAATAAACAAGAATTCTCAAAATATCAAAAAAAAAAAAAAAAAAAAAAAAAAAAAAAAAAAAAAAAAAAAAAAAAAAAAAAAAAAAAAAAAAAAAAAAAAAAAAAAAAAAAAAAAAAAAAAAAAAAAAAAAAAAAAAAAAAAAAAAAAAAAAAAAAAAAAAAAAAAAAAAAAAAAAAAAAAAAAAAAAAAAAAAAAAAAAAAAAAAAAAAAAAAAAAAAAAAAAAAAAAAAAAAAAAAAAAAAAAAAAAAAAAAAAAAAAAAAAAAAAAAAAAAAAAAAAAAAAAAAAAAAAAAAAAAAAAAAAAAAAAAAAAAAAAAAAAAAAAAAAAAAAAAAAAAAAAAAAAAAAAAAAAAAAAAAAAAAAAAAAAAAAAAAAAAAAAAAAAAAAAAAAAAAAAAAAAAAAAAAAAAAAAAAAAAAAAAAAAAAAAAAAAAAAAAAAAAAAAAAAAAAAAAAAAAAAAAAAAAAAAAAAAAAAAAAAAAAAAAAAAAAAAAAAAAAAAAAAAAAAAAAAAAAAAAAAAAAAAAAAAAAAAAAAAAAAAAAAAAAAAAAAAAAAAAAAAAAAAAAAAAAAAAAAAAAAAAAAAAAAAAAAAAAAAAAAAAAAAAAAAAAAAAAAAAAAAAAAAAAAAAAAAAAAAAAAAAAAAAAAAAAAAAAAAAAAAAAAAAAAAAAAAAAAAAAAAAAAAAAAAAAAAAAAAAAAAAAAAAAAAAAAAAAAAAAAAAAAAAAAAAAAAAAAAAAAAAAAAAAAAAAAAAAAAAAAAAAAAAAAAAAAAAAAAAAAAAAAAAAAAAAAAAAAAAAAAAAAAAAAAAAAAAAAAAAAAAAAAAAAAAAAAAAAAAAAAAAAAAAAAAAAAAAAAAAAAAAGAAAATAAACATAACTGTAAAAATGGTCCTATCAATTTTCAAATTGACCTGTATTTTCCTCACATTGATCACTCCTGTGATTTTCTAGACAAAAGGCCTAATGGTTTTCCTCGAAATGTATTATCAGTGTTGCATATTTGCCGATGAAAAAGAAAACCAAGGGGCAACACTGGGCATATCTCTGCTAGTTTTGAAGATATGAGGGGCAAGAAAATATGCAAAGTTTATTTCATGGTGAAAAAGAAGGTCGAAGGTCAATTTCAAGGTCACAGTATAAGACTTCCTATTCAAGTTCAATAGTAACTATGCGCATTTCTTTGCCAATTTTAAAGATGTAAAGGCCAGAAAACATGCAAAATACAGTTCATCATAAAAAAGTAAGTCAAAGGTCAATTTCAAGGCCACAGTTAGATTGCCAGTATATGCTTTCCTATTTAAGTTCAAAAGCGACTATGAGCCTACCTCTGTCAGTTTTCTGAGATATAAGGGTGACAAAATTGGCAAGGTTCAATTCATGGTGAAAAGTAGGTCAAAGGTCAATTTCAAGGTCACAGTAAGATTGCCAGTATATGACTTCCTACTCAAGTTCAACAGTAACTATGGGCGTATCTCTGATAGTTTTAGAGATATAAGGCCTGGAAAATTTGCAAAGTTTAGTTCATGGTGAAAATTAGGTCAAAGATCAATTTCAGGATCACAGTAAATTGCCAGTATTTGACTTCCTATTCAAGTTCAATAGTACCTATGGGCAAATCTTTGCCAGTTTTGGAGATATAAAGATCAGTAAACTTGCAAAGTGCAGTTCATGGTGAAAAGTAGGTCAAAGGTCAATTTCAAGGTCACAGTCAGATTACCAGTATACGAATTCCTATTCAAGTTCAATAGTAACTATGGGCGTATCTCAGCTAATTTTGGAGTATTTCACATTTAATTTTCACCACTGAATATCGAATACTGAACTTTTTGACATAATGCAACGCCTAAGCCGAATCGAAAAAGGAAAAATGGACACCACCTTCTGTATTGCACTTGATAAGCTCTACAAAATGCAAAAAACAAGAGGTCTCTAGCATTAACAGTTCCAGAATTAAAGAAAGTTTTCAGTTTTGGCCGTTACTCCCATGAAAATGCACCGATTGACCCCAAACTCAAAAAGATGAAAGAAGACCCAAAGGGTAACAACTACCCATAATATTATAGGTTAGATCTGTGTAGTTTCTGAAAATCAGCAGAAATAAAAAAGATTTTGCAAAAAATTAAGATTTTTAGAAAATTTTGGCCCGTTTGACCTAGAAATAAAGGTCAAAAGTCAAATCCAAGGGCATATTTGGAATCTTCACATATGACTTTCGGTCAGACTTCTATAGTAATTTTTCCCATAATTCCTTTGATTTGGCAGATATTTGGCATTGAATTTTCAAAAATTTTGACAAGGGTGTGTTTCAACGAGCGTCATGCCCAGGCCAATGCACTAACTGAGACAAAAAGAACAGGGGGTTCAAGTTGAGATTATATGTGCCCTAAATCCAAGAGATGGGGACATGGGTCCTTGCAGTCTAGGAGGAGAAGCGGTAACGGTGACTTGTATCCGGCGCCAGTACGCGGAGCCGGCGGAGCCGTACGAGACGGGTCGGGACTAATAACTGATTGACATAAAGGCAATCTTGGAGGATCTTATTACTTCTTAAATATATGCTAATAGCTATAGACTTAATTTATTTGGTAGAGTGCATTATTGAAACCTGAAATTTATTTGCCTTACCACGCATGCTAATGTAAATATGAGCAGTGGCAGGGCAGAGAATCCAAGGAGCCATCTCCATCCCAAGTTTGGCATCACTATTAGAGCCAATAAGACCTCAAAACAGGTACCTATGGCCCAAAATATCTAGTTAAAACAAAACAAAAAAAAAAAATTCAGGATATGAAAACTTCTCTCATGAGCACATGTCAAAACACAATGCAATACTGATATAAAAGAGTTAAATACACTCTGCAATTTTAAATTTAAATTAATTCAGTTTGAAACACACAGTTTCAGTTCTATAGAAGAGATACCAGGATTCATTAATTTCTTTTCAATTTTACCGAAAACATTTAACCATTGTTAGTTTAATCACTGTCAGCTTACTTTGCAATGACCTTAAATCATTTCTTTTATGAAAAAGTTTTCTACCTTCACAAGTGTAATTAATAAAGCCATATGATTTATTACCTCAATAAGTACTACACACTTTGCCCTGGATGCTGATGGTAGGAACTCGGCATACAATGTGACACTGGAATACACAAAAAAGTTAATGGCTTGATTCCATTATCTCTACATGCATAGTGCCTAAAAGGGATGTGCTGCCACATGATACACACAAAACATCTTTCAGTTACAGAATGGCTGTAGCTTATAGCACAGCAAAAAAGAGTATTTTTGTGAAAATCATTTTATGAATATTGCATGGTAGGCAACTGATCGTGACCAAGTTCAAAAGGAACCAAAATATTTTGTAAAATGTACAGGGAGCATTTAGAACTGGGTCCAAGAAGAGGTTTAGATTTTAAACTTTCAGACCAAAAACTTTAGTCCACTTTGGTGTAAATAAATCCATCACAGTCCAAGTGATTGAAATACAGCCACGTGAAAAATGTCTCTAACTTAAACACTGATCATTACTTATTGTTTTTCAATTGGACTATGGATTTATGGATTTTTAAAATTCTATAGCACCCTGCAGATCCATGTGAAATCTAATTCCTAAGTTAAGTGTCCAATGCATCTAAATTGCATGCGACACATATTCATCACAAGCAAATAGTGGCCAACTGCTTGGTAAATGTAGACATTTCTGACTGTACTTTCAAACACCATTAAAAGGCAAACAATCTCATGCATAAAACATCAGTGGTGGTGTGGTTTATGCATATGGAATGAACTTTGGCTTCTACATATCCGGGTTAGTGATTTAAGCAATAACCTTCTAGGGCAAGTTTACATACAAATTGATAAGAAAAGAAATTCAAAATAATATGTACATAATAAACCCAAACTGCAACTTTATTAATTTTTTCCTTATTATGACATTGGCGACTGGGCTGTAACAAAATTAATTGACAACGCAGTCCAATGAAAGCTTCAACCAAATCTGAATCAGCCTCAATGGGGGTGGGGGGTGGAGGTTGTATAAAAATGGTAACTTACGACTGTGGAGCACCTCCTATTCCAAATCCAACCAATCCACGCAGTATAAGCATCCATACGTACACTGGAGAAAAGGAGCTGACAAGGCCATAGTAGAATGTGAACACGGAGCTCAAAATTAACTCCTGCAAGTAAAATGATGAATACATTTATTACTCAGTATTATGGTTATAGTGATAAATAGGCTGATAAATATATTGGACTGTCATTCTTTGCTAGTGGTTACAAAATGTTGAATTTGACCGAAATTTCAAACTTTCTCTGGGAAGCTGTAATTTTGCAATGTGATAGCTACACCATCACAGTTTATCATTTCATAAAAAGGGAAACAGCAGCTGCCCTTTTTAGGGCACACAGGAGAGTTGAACAGCTATACCCACCAAATCCAAGACGCGTTACCCTGGGTAATATATTTTGCACAAACTAATGAAAGTCTAATGGAATGTTTTCAGTTTTAGTTTAAATCATAAGGGGGTGTTGTCTCAATGCTTCAAAACTGGTTTTGAAGAATTTAATCCACATTTCATAATTAATAAAAATGGTGAATATGTGGGTCACGGTAACGTTATTGACGCGGGTACAAAAACTTTTTATAATCATGTAAATAATAACAATATTTTTGCTATTATCCATACACACTTCATTCATGAGGGGCACACCACTTTCACATGCTTTTAAAATGGAATTGACAAACACAGAGGAATAATGCACATATTTTATTTACTGTAACTCTGTCATATGGGACACACACTGAACAAAGTTGATCTAAAGAATGTTCCAGATTGTAGTTTTTTATCAGAACTATTATTTTTTTATTATTATTTTAACACAATAAAGTTCAGTTAAATACAAAATTTAACAAAATGAAGTTCAGTGTAACACAAAGTTCATAATTATAACATTCTTCCTGACATATGTAGACCAATGGTGATATCTGTTCTGTGCTCACTAAGGCATCCAC